CTTGCAAAAACAAATATTATAAATAGAAATTCTTATATACGCACTAGCGGCATAGGACACGATTTAAAAGAAATTTTGTTTTGTTGTCTCTTTGTTGTTGCCGTTTGTCTCAAGCATAATTCTGAGTCAGGGAACTCACAGTACAGGTTCACTCTCGAGTAGGCGGGATTTTTGAACTGATTTAATTACATGCATTTCCCTCATTTATCCATTGGTTCGATTGCTCGATTTATACTTCTCAGAGACAGCTATCTTGATTTCAATTGCAAAAGAGTAAAAATTGAATACGAAAAACTGTAACTTAACACATCATTCAATAGAGTATAATTCAGATTTTAATAAAAAATCACTCCGGACGTGCTTGCGAACAATTTTCCAACTGTAAGTTCCCCCTTTCAAATCAAACGTATTCTTTGGATTTTGTGACACAGTACAGATTATTCCGCGGAGGGAGTTTAGAAACTTGGGATTGCTACAGTTTCTGATCAAAAGAAAACTTAGGTGTGGAAAAGGCAGAGCAGCTGAACCCTAACGGCTGATTCCCTTGTTAATCATCCGTTACAATATCCAAACCGGAAGCAAGTACGAACCACGCCAAGCCAAACATCCGTGCTGTTTCCACTCGAGATTATCTCCTGACCTGATGTGCAGTATGTGTTGCTCGCACTCAAACGGAGAACTGTACTGCTCCACTGGACTCCATTGGAGAACTCTACTTAAACGTCTTCAGTGTGCTGAAATTCACAGTTACGTGATTTCTCAATATAATCAATTTGCCTCCGATACACCAAAATTTTCGTAGCATTGAATTGAAACATGCGTTCGCATACTCCGGGCATTACTCTACCGTACAATGATAAATTCTTCTTGTGAACGGCATCAACAGGTCAAAAAGTGGAATGGAAAACTTCTTTCTTTATACATATCTCATCAAAAAGATGGACAGGATGTGCATTTAGCGATGTACACTGCTTTAGATAAAATGTCGTTGAATATTCTGCGAAAAATCGATGATATATATATATATACATAGATCTTAGATAGACCTTACCCATTATATGTACACGAAATCCAGGCAAATTTATTAAAAGTCTGCATAGCTGGCTTGTCATATATACCTGTGACAATTTTTAGTGTACGATACTTCAAGATTTAGATGTAAATGCACCCACTAATACGACGTTCTCCTGTCTATAGGCTTCCGTAATATAAGAAAGTGTAGTCAATCCTGACTAAGTTTAAATGAGAAACATTAAAAAGTCGTGCAATGTGTATTAAGTAACAACTGTTCAAAACCATATACTTTTTCAAATCGGGGTAAGGCCCCAAACAAAGGTCAAACAAAGATTTTAAGTTTGAAAATCAGAAAAAACTAAACGGGAAAAATAACATGAATTCCATCGATGAGCATTCATTCGTATATACGCGAATTGTTTGTATCCAATGAAAAGATCTCTCGCCAAGATTTGTATAATAAAAGCTGTTATCTATCTCATCATATTGCACAAAAAGGTCAAATAACAGGAGAACGAACATATGCTATCGTAAGATTCTCATACGTAATGTGAACGCGTATGATGTAAAGCATCCATAATCTGCTTCTATTCAAAGATGAAAAATGTAAAACGCAATATAGATACCGATAAGAGTGAATAAACTAAACTGAAATTGCTTTTAATTACTCTTGACTGGCCATACAGGTTGACTGTTGTCGGTATAAATTGAAATTTGAAATGTTAATTGTGCCATAAATATATGAAAGCGCGTATGTGTTCACTTTATAACAAAATATATTCATAAATGGAAGAGTAAACTTTTGTTGAAAAGAAAATATTTGCAAACTTTAATGCTCTCGCGTATTTAATGTTGCGAATGCAACAACGCTTGGAGTTATTAATATGTTAGATACATTTTATGATCTCTTTGCAAACATTTAGGACGCATTAAATGAATGACTTGAAACTTTAAGATTTCTGACGATTCTTTGTCTCTTGAAACAGGCACAAGATGTTCTTCCATGTATCATTGAACAACAAAAGATCAATGACTCAATCTAGTCGCATTTGCCATTAAGGATGAATTAACTTATCCTTGTTGCTGCATTTATTACAAAGGTATCCAACTCACTTATTCATATTATAAAAAGAGACACTACAGCTGCAAACTGAGACAATATACTTTTATCTATAATAACGGGTATGGTAGTCTCTTGTCATCTTAAAGTCAGACTTCAACAGTTCCTATACAGCCAGGCGTGATGATTGCCATCAGCAATAAATAAGCGCGATTTAATGGAGTTGTCGAGTAGTCGGTCTAGTAACCCAGACTATGCCAAGTCAAGCTAAGTGATAAAGTTGATTTTATTTCTCTACGGCTCTTATGCTAATCGTAATGGATGCTTGCCAAGAATTTCATGATTTTTAGCTGTTAAAACGCTCATAGATAACACAAAAATTTACGATTTTCAAATATTTGCTTGAAACGATGGCAACTCCCTTCGAAGGTATTTTTTCCATTTTCTTTTACTCGAGGATACTTCACTAATGATAACCTTTCCTATGTTCTAAATCAAAACGCTGATCTACAATATAATTGTATTTTAACTGTTAAGCACGCTACATTATTTTGCCACATTTGATATATGCTTTGACGCATTTAATATCGAGAATTCGCTCCGCAATGTTGGGTTACATAATAAGTCTCTGCGGTTTTTCCGCGGGATGATGCCTATTAATGTCTGTATATCGGGCGACAGTCACCTGATTGTCTTAAATGAATAGGTGCTTACAAGGTGACACTTCAGCTGACATTTTTTGTGCAGATAGTTTTCTAATTCGTTGCTCGTGTAAAAAGTTGCATTTACTTGAAAAGGGGTGAAATATCTGAAGAAATACGTTATATGAAGCTTTTTTACTATGAAAAAGGTAGAGAACATATAAATACATGTCGAAAAATTTTTAAAGTGTATGGTGTGAATGAACGAAGGACGCTTGATTTCGTTCCGGAATCTTTGATATCATCTGGAGGCATCTACTCGCGTTAGTCGAAAGAGTCGATGAAATTTTGCAGCCGGTGAAGCAAGGCCGGCACTTAAGCTGTCAGCAATAGGAGGGGCACTAAACATCAGCCACATGATGGTTTGGAATCATTTGAAAAAAAATAGGTTACAAAAAGGAGCTGGAAACCGCGGAAAAAACAGCAAAGACTTTTTATATGAGCCATTATATATAAGAATTTCTCATACACTTTGCTTATAAAATAGTTAATGGATGAATCGGTAATTGATCTCTTGTATATAACAACAAAGTGTATTTGGCGGCAATTTCAGTTTGCTTATTTATTTTATTTTTACCCATTTATACATGAAATTCAACTAAAGGAAATTACAGTCGAATTCAGTGCATCTTAATAGAAAATCTTATATTAATTGTTTTAAAGTTTAGTATACAAAAAAAAGGAAGAAAAAAAGAAGAATAATAATAACAAAGTAAGTTTAAAAACAAATGAAAAAGTTAAAAATAATAATTCATGTATAAATAAATAAAAAGAGAGAAAAAAAAAAAGAACAGAAAAAAAGGCATGTACACAGCTAGCACGGAAGCACACCCGCAACAAGAACAGATCCAGGTTGCAAGCGAGCCCCTAAACCAATTCAAACACGCATAAGCTTGGCAACCAACACGTTAACAACCCAATATTTTTTTAAATAAAAAATGAGATATTAGGAATGAAATGTTGATTTAAGTACGACAGATCGTAAACACGCCTATAGTCGATAAAAAAACAATGAGTTACTTACATATTTGCTGAATTGTCTTGTCTCGGGGCGAAACGTGCATAGTTCAATTTTCCCTATTAAATATTCATCGGATATCGGAAGAATCGGAAATGACGTGACATATAGAAAATACTCTGCCGAATTAAAAAGTGTTATATACGGAATGACAAGCAAAACACACTTCGAGTCTTAGACAGGCGATGTGAAAAGAGTAATGCAATATTTTGCTGACACATATATACAATTGCTATAAATGCTGATCGACTCTTTTTGTGCATTGTCTATTAGAAGAACTGGGCATCAGTTTCAAATCTTAAGTATAAGATAATATGAGATCACTTTAAAAGAGATAAAATAAAATTTGAATGATCGAATGGGAGAAGAGACGGTTTTCAAGCTTCGTTTAACTTAAATCAAAGACACACTTAACTCTACGTTTTTTCAATGGACGTTTGGTCATCGGAAAATATAAGCAAAGGTAGTTACATCGGGCATCTAATAATTCGTTGTATTAAAAATGATAGAATTTGTCAGCTGACACATCTTCAGGCAATGAAATTGGCAATTTCTATATTGATCACCGGAAGATGGCTATATTTTTATTTCTGGCAATGCTCAGAGTTTAGCGAGAACGTATGAATTCTTAAATAGTGTTACACTCACGTTCATCGGATCTTGGACTTCTCAAACTCTCGAAAAATGGTAGAAAAATCTGTAATTGTACAGTGAACTTTTGAGGTTATAGTCAGCGAAAATGGCGCATACAATAGCTACAAAGTTAAGTAACTTTCGGGCTAGTTAGGTACAATTAGGAAGTTTTGTTCCCAAAGTTTAATTCCTTAAAACTGATCGCTGACTAATATGATCTTAACAAACAACATATTGCAAAATTGCAACATGCATCCGTTTGACATAATTTATAGCTTCTTAGGAATCATTTCAAGGAGAACTTCTGTTTACTCTTCTTTGTGTACGCTGGACTGTACGAATAGACTAATATAACATTAAAAAAAAAAATAGTTCGAGAATCACTGCTTTACTTGATTTAAGTTCTCTCGATTTCTCATTAAAAACTATTTCACATATAATGGTGGTTGGTTGGTTACATTTGCCCGAGAGAGCTTATAAAAGATTCACAAATACCGCTTAAAGAAATCAGTCGTTATTGAGATGTGAATCAGTTCAGTTTTAATAAAATCGCTTATATTATTAGTGACTATAAAAAATAAAAAGAAACTAAATATTTTTTACGTAAAGAAAATACATTTTCAAAATACTATTTGAAAAGCATATCATTTATTGTATAGTGTTTTTTTTTAAGGAGAAGAAAATAATTATAAATTGTAAAATGCCCCCCACCGGTATAGCTGTAGATGAAGCCGATCATCGTCAACGGCGATCCCATCATTATGATTTCAAACACAATTTTGATCACGTGCATAAAAGCGATAATAACGCTTTAGTAAATACCGACAACAGTAATCATTCCGCCGCCGGCGATAATCATAAAGAAGATGACACTTACATGGAGATACGTAAAATGACAAGGTATTATTGTTTTTATAGCATGCTGTGTAATATGTACAAGTTGATGGGGGGAGCAGGGAGAGATGGTTTTATTTAATAAAGCATTGTAGGAACAGTTTCCGCGTACATTTCCTTATAGTTTCTACTCGGATATGATGCAAACATTTTCGTATTCTATACGCGTTATTTTACATGAGTCAACGTATGTAGACACGTTTCTATAAAATTTGCATTTTTGGCTGCGAGTCAATTTAGAACATTTCATTTTAAAATTTTGCTGCCATTCGCCTCGTTCATCTCATAACCGCGAACACATTGCCTGGCAAGCACGCGTGAGTGCATAAGAATCGATCTCGTGCAAAACTTACAGAAAAAATGAAGCCCATGGAAAGCCACTGTTACCCGTTAATTAGATAAGTCAAGCTTTATTATCCGCTCTCTAAGATTTTTTCAAAACTTGTTATTGAATTGCATTTTTGATGAAATTAAATGGCGTCGAAATGTTTTTTTTGTGATTGGCTAAACGAGTTCAAGAACGAGATTCCTTTCTCTTTCATATATAGAAGTTTACAAACAACTGTTCTTGATTAAAGCGCCAATTGCTCAGCTCATCGCCCTTTTGAAAAGTGTCCGTTTCACGGAAGAAAATACATGGTTAGAAGGTTTGAAAAAAGAAAAAGAAGAATTCAAAATCATTTCGAATTTTTTATGATTAGTTCATGTGAGCGTACGCAGCAGAAATTAAGCTTGACTGCCGTAGGCAGTTTGCATATTATTGCAAACACTAATGTGCCGAATGACAGCGAAATTTCGACAAAGATTTCTTATAGTAGTTTTTCATTGGGAGGAAGGAGAAGCCCCTAAGGAATCACTTATGGAACACTGATATGTATGTCGAAATTTTCTGGAAATATTAATCGGAATGCGAGGGCCAAGTTTAATTACACTTAAAGCAGAGGAAATGAAAACATCCGTATGTCACGAGACCAAGACGTCTCATAGACTCTCATAAAACCATCTGCTTTGTGTACGAATGGAATACTGCAAGCGAGAATGTAGCCCCCGGTTAACTACAATCAAATTTAATTCTGTTTTTCATCTTTAAAAGTTTTTCCTTTCGGTCAGCTAGTTGCTAATAACGTCAACCAAGTGAAAGCTACAAACTATATGTGTATTTGGTTCGAACATATTCTCAACATTGAACATAAGCACAACCCCGAAATCAACCAAGTAAGCGGTTTAAAATATTTCGTATTTGAAATTTCCTTAACTTCTGTTATGGTCTTATATCAATCTCGACTTTGGTACGTACGTAAGCAACGCTCTTAGCATGTAATGCTAAATATATTAGTTTTCAGGCATGTATGGTATTTACGTACGTATTTCTGCGTATATCTGCTTGTGCTTGACTCAGGTTTAGATACGTACTGTTATGCGTGTAATGGCGTTCATGCGCTTCTATATATATATTTAGTTAAGATTATGTAATAAAATGCTTGCATAGACATATGTTGCATCTATAATAGTATTTCGTTTATTATAAAGCATATGCACTGTAGTTTAGTAGCTTAAAATGTGATGGGTAACAAAGCAATCGGATTTAAGTCGAAAATCGTATCTCTTTTCTTTAAATCCAATAACGCCTTACAGGCCATACAGGAACATGTCTAAGGATATAACTCATAAAGTGGTTTAAATGAATATATACAAATACGATATATATATATATTTGTATATATGTGTATACACACATATATTTAAATAAACATTTCATAAAAATTTTAAAGCACATTTAGTCTACATACAAACAAGTTGAATAAGTTATTTAAATCTCGTGCCGTCTATTTCGTTGGAGAAAATGTATTTTATATAATAAAGGAAAAGATTAAATTCTCTGAGAAAATATTTTTTTTCAATAACAATACTAATCTTTCCGGTTTTGCACCACTACGCAGTGACCGAAAGATATTATACATCACTTGCTTATATTCTTATTTATATTATAGAGAAGGTGTGTCTATTATCCATACCGTCTCAAGCACCTAGTTATCTGCGTATAAAGAACTTGAAAAACTTACCAGCAGAGAATTTTCATTGCCAACTTGAAATAGTGCGATGTATTCTTAGACACCCATACACGATGAAAATTTTAAAATATTTGTTTTTTATAAAGAGCTGCTATTACTTATAGGTGTATTAACCTGGTTATCGTCTTTGATGACCAAACCCAACCTATGCAAGGTTCGTTTATATGAGTTCGCCTTCCATTTCAACAAAAATTTTGAAGGAAAAAAAAACATGTATTATATTTAATTCAAGCAGCCTGCCATCGAAAATCTAAGAAAGATTGGTAGCACATTTCTCTTTTGCGACAGTATAGCAGAAAATAATTTATAAACACATGTGGATGGAGTGAAAGGTGTATAAAATTTCGTTTGAACACTAAAACAGAAGAGAGAAAGCAACTTACGGTTTATGGCTTTAATATCAAAAAATAGAGCATAACCGCTTATGGACTCATTGCAACGAGTAGAGACTGTCGAGTAGCATATTCAAATCAGCAGGACTGACGTATAACACATAGTCAGACCCCAGTGTACGTTTTTCTTACTACCCGGTGTGAAATCTTTCAATCATAAAAATTGATATCAAGCAAATATATTCAAATTGCGATCGAGTTTGTTCGATAACGAATAGTGCAAACCTGTCAAAGGTTGCAATTTATGTAAGTCAGTCATTTCTTTTATAAACATTTCGTATTGTAGGTGGATTTTGTATAGATGTAGACATATTAGGGCATTTATAATCTGCTTGATGAGGAAAATAATCTTTAGGGTACAAATGTTAACATAATACGCAGAAATCTGACCAACCTCAACATTAGATCAATTCTACAGATCAAGAAGTAAGTAAGGAAATTCTAATCTGTTACACATTTCAATCTACGCTCAACGTTGAATATCGATCTTGGTCTTAGGCGTAAATAATACTTAATAATAATATGCATACATTTTCTATGAAAACGATGGCGGCCTATGGACTGACAATTAAGTTGGCAATTAAGATATTCATTTTAGAGGTAAATTTTGCTGGCATTCCTGTTGTAAAACTTGGTCGTACCTTGTGGTATTTTGGGAAAATTGGTAAACTTGCAAGGTGAACGAAGAAAAGTTACAAACAAGTTTTCAAAGGAAAATTTTTTTTGCAAAAAAAAAAAACAAAAAAGTAATTACCGGCTGACGAATATTTCATTTCTGTCGAAGAGGTTTGCCGACTATTTGCTAATTTGATGCTTAGCTTCTTAGCGTAAGGGAACTTCTTAGTTATTCGATTCTGAGAATCCACTGCTGATCAGATTGGGACAGTGCCACCGCAACAGTCGTCGAGCCTCCAAGTTTTTACTAATTCTTCATCTTCTTAATCAGCGACTTTTCATATTGCCCGTTCTCTTTCTTCTAGTCAGAATAGTGCTGCTAGGCAAGTGGGATGCGTACTTATAACTGTAGTAGAGCTCAAAAGCTTTTCCCTACAAACAAAAATGCTTAAACCTTTTATTGAAATCTTCTTAGAAAAATGAGAAATGATTGCAATAAAGAAAATCGGAAAACTCTTATACCTCCATTCTTTATTTGTGGATACAAAAAAGTCACAAATTGTTATCTTAATGCGTTTTTTTATTCTTTAACGTCATTTTTTTTTTTTTTTGTATATTCATTGCACATTGTTGCTGTTGCTTTTCTTTTGTCTTCAGGTCGAACATAATGTTAATTACTGCCTCTTGCAATTATTGAGATTATTGTAGAAATTTCTTTATAAAAAAAATTGCTTTCTGAAAATAAAGAAGAAGAAAAATACCATAGTTTTTGCATTCTTTACCATAAGACGATGATGTACGCATTTTGTTAGTCCGCTTGGAAAATCATCAAAGAGAGATCAACATCTCAGATCTAAGGTAGAGATTGTATGCCTAAATTTCTATCTCTTGAAGAGAGCTTGCTTTCTTCTCCTTTGTGTAGATTCGTTTACTTTTAGCTGGAATTGTAAGAAAATATGCGCAAAGAAGTATAATCATTATTAAGTGGTAGGTGAATTGGACTTGATGAGTCAGCTGTAACTGTAGAACTTGTAATAAAAATTCTTCTTAAAACGAATAATTTGATTGGCTTTCGTCGAACTTGTGAGTGCTTTCCGGCTTACTTGGCACACGACTTCCCAAGTCTGCTTGCTGCTTGTCAGGTTATTACTGTGAAACTACCTGTTTCTTCTTCTCAAAGAACCATTCTATCAGGCTGTTGTTTCTAGCAATACTACCTTCGTCTGCCTTTCCATCTATCTGTTTAATATCGTTTACTGAAATCTCTATTAGGGATTAAAGACGAGATTGGATTTCTTGCTGAGAGCAGAGATAAGTTATTTTGCCTAAGTTTTTGGGCAGATCTTAGTCAGTCTTTCTCTCAGTTCTTCTTTGCTTCAATTACAAATTTTTTTTTTCTCTTCTTAAATTCAAATATCAAATACCGACAATTCCGAATAAAAGATGTAAGAATAGTTGTTTCGAAAATTTCTGAAAGAAATTAAAAGATTCGGTTTAAGCCAAATGGATTTTCTCTCCCATTTGCAATTGCAGCGGCTTCCATCACGTTTATTAACTAAACTTATAATTAACTCATGTAATTATTTTCTTGTTTTATGCTCAGAAGATTTTCTCTGCAACAAGTATTTTTCTATTTAAAAGAAAAATTTTAACGAAATTATTCCAATTGGATTCAAAGTATTATTCAGTGTGCTTAGCGAACGTTAACGTTATGAATAATTCGTAAAGTTTTATTATTCATTCCTGTTTGTTTTGTTTTATTTCTTATCAGCACTTTGCACCAATTGACAGTAGTTGACGATTTAAATAATTATTTGTTTTCAAAAATATTGGTTTGATTTCAGATATTCCGATGGCACGGTTAAGTTACGTAATGCCAACATCGAACTTATGGATCAAGATATTTTATATCACTTAGCATTGGGTAGCGAAAGTCATGATTTACACGAAATGTTCGGTGATGTTAAGGTGAGTGAATTTTTTTTTTTCTTTTTGTCTCTAAACAGAGGCAGTAGAAACTATAGAGACATGAAGTTTTAGCGATACCTTTCTACAAATACAAAGAGAAAAATTGATATATATATATATATATATATATATATATATATATATATATATATA